TCTGTCTGAAATAAATCCAGATTGCTAGCCTGTTATTCTTTTAAAAAAGCACAAATTAATCTACTGCAAGCTACCCTCAGATTGAGAATTGTTTCATAGCATCCTGATAGTTAATAAAACATTCAGTCAGCCTTTGCAACAGAATCTTATCTAAATTACTCCATATACTCCCAGATACTGAACGCTTCAATTGGTAGCCATGCATGGCAAGCATAACTTAACTAACACTAACAGTAACTGTAACATAAGATCTAACACTCAGGAACAAAACGTCAAAGTTTTGAATCATACATAACTGCCGTAGCCCTAAAGTAACTCAGAGTCATTTTTATGGGTTCACCACACCACGAAGTGGTGGTGAACCCATATTGCTTTTTCTGATGTTTCTTCTCCTCCTTCTCCTCCTTCTCCTTCTCCTGCCATTTTTTAAATGGATTCAGCTTCTTCATTTTAGGGCCCAAGGTCTTGAAATTTGGTATGGAGGTACAGTGGGCAAATACCCCTAGGCGTTTTTTAAATTATTGTGATACAGGCTTTTAGAATGGTTTTATTTGAGTTTTTTGGCTGTGTTATAGCAAATGTATTTCTGTGTTAGTGTGCCTTGTTTACCACGTTTGGGCATGAGTCATCACAATGGAATGCAGGGCATCAACCAATAGGCATGCAGCTTTCCTCTATTCTTCTTGCTGATTGGCTGTTGGGATTTAACTTGATCAACACCTGCACAGAGCATTTCCACCTGCACAGAGCATTTCTTGCTGATTGGCTGTTGGGATTTAACTTGATTAACACCTGCACAGAGCATTTCCATACTGACAGTATGTCTGTATTCAAGTGTTTTGGTAGGTATTTCAAGCTTTCCTGCTCCAGCATTGGAATGCGGGGCATGGACATTTTTTTTTATTTTGAAAATCAACAGTTTGCATTATGCAATTAAAAATCCTAACCAATAAAGTAGGGAATAGCTATCCAACTGTTGTTTTAGTTTTTCCCTTGTGTTTCTCATTCTTTCCCTGCCATGTCGTAAAATGTGGTGAACCCATCGCTGTATTTGCTCCAAAGCAAATATTAGCCTTTCTAGTTACAGGTAGTTTTTTCTTACCTGAATTTCTTGACCCCTTATTGACCTTTAGCCTCTGAATTACAATGGCAAATTTGGACAGGCAAGCTTTCTAATCTGCCTATGGTCACTAGGAGGAACTTACAATAATAAAAGCCATTACATAATTGTTGTATTCAAAGCTAGAAAAGCAGTATTACATCAAACAACGCACTGTAAAAACAGGGACTTAAACAATTTGCCTTCCAATAGAAATGGTTGTCCAAGTTGTGCACAATAGCTTTACTACAAATTACATTCTAACTTAAGGCCTAGGAAAAAAAATGTTGTGTTTCCTGTTCCCCAACCGACCCATGAAAAAACTGCCGACCCTAGACTTTTTTTGGTGGACCCCGGCAAGGGACATACATTTTTTAAGCTGATCGACCTTTTCTAGCTCCATGACCTGACACTTGTCACATTGTCAGGGCTCGAAATACTGGGTGCATGTGCACCACCTTAGTGCACCCAAAATTGGAGCTGTGCACCCAATTTATTTCTGTGGGTGCACCCAAATATTTTTGTACAAGATTTTGAAGTTAGCTCCCCTTTCAGATTCAAGCTCAGAAGAGGAGCAGTAAGACCTGTCATTAGGTTTTGTTTTATATGGTAAACCCCAAAATTTTTCTGTGCACCTAATTTTTTAGATTGGGTGCACCAGTGCACCTATTCCCAAAAATGAATTTCGAGCCCTGATTGTACAATCGGTTTTCCAACATCAAAATTGAAAATATAATGTGTCCTCATGCAAGTTTCACTTTGTTAAAATGTATTGTATACGTTGGATCACTGAGACCATCAAAGTATAATAAAAAGAGAAAGAATAAAAAGATCATCTCTACCTACCGACCCAGGTTCCTGTTTCAGTCCTGAAAATATTAGGGACCCTAATATTTTCAGGACTGAAACAGGAAACACAACAGTTTTTTTTCCTAGGCCTATTAGGCCACAGCAAGTAAATTTTATGGACGACATCCTCCACAGACTCCAAATCTAATGCGAGCGGGCAAAAAAAAAAACAAGGTTCCCACATTTTTAATTTTTTACTCAATCATTGTACAAATGGTTTTGATTCAGTGGGAACATCACATATCACTGCATCAAAGAAACAAAACATTAAATCAGAGCCTTTTCTTGTCTCCTCTCTTTATAGTTATCTGCCATCCACCTTCCAGCATGGCAATAGACATCTTTGCACCCATTTTCAGCATATTGACCACAGTCAGAAGGCAACAAAATTTCTTTTTTCTTTTTTTTTCCAAAACCAGGCAAAAATTAATGTGTGCGCTGATGTCATCCATTAAAATTACTTGCTGTGGCCTAACCCAGGTGGCAGTTAGGATAATGAAACGTTTCTCCTTTCTTCCTCATTAACTTTAGTCAATGAAAATTAGGTCAGGGACACAACAGCATACACAATACATGACAGGTATCCAGGTGTGTGCGTGACTTTGTACACTGTTGCTAAGAGATGGTATTGATGGTAGAAGGTGGTAAAGTTTTTATACAGGAATTCTTCAGTCCACATGCCATAACTTCATTTTTCATCTACAGTCAAACCTGTCTACATCTGCATAGTGACCATTCACACAAGATTCTGCACGAACAACTATGAAAGGGGTGCTAGTGTAACGGAAATGAAAAGAAACCTACAGTGGGGGTCGCTGGAAGACAGACGTAGAATGTCCAGACTGTGCATGATGTACAAAATGACTAATAAACTGGTGGACGTACCAACCACTAAGTATCTGATACCAGCCCAGAAAAGATCAAGAAACAGCCATGCCTTCAAATATCAGAGTTATCAACCAAGAATTGAGGTATTCAAAAACTCGTATTTCCCCAGAACTATCATAGACTGGAATTCGTTGCCACCAAGCACAGTTGGGGCATCATCACTAGAAAGCTTTAAACAACTCCTGCAATCAAATGTGCAAATATTACGTGTAACAAGTCGTTCGGTGTGATATAGCTAGCTGTCGCCGTGCCGTGTGCCTGCGAAGCTGGTGTGTTACGCCGAAGGGCGGTTATACCGGCTATACCGATACAGATACAGATTCAAAGAATGTGAAGAAAACAGTCATAGGAGAAAGGTGGTTTAAGTCTTAATGCTTGGGTCAATCAAGGGGGGAAATTATCAAAGGGACCACCAACATTTAGTGCTTACAATTATGGTCAGGTGGTCCTTGCATGTGCATAGTTGGTCACTAGAATTTGACTGTAATTTATGATGACAATTACAAGATTGAAAAAGTTTGAAAAAGTCATTGTGAAAAATTCCCTTTTGAGAGTTCTTCCTAAACACTTCAATCTAGTCTAAGCAATAGGAGGTAAAAAATCAGAACTTCTTGGTCTAAGAAGATATTGGTAGTTGGAGGGTTAAAGGATTAACCATTAACTAACTCGGCCAACCAGCTAGAAAATCTCTTTACTCTACCAAGTCACCCAAAACTCTCTCCAAACATTCTACAAAGCCAAGAAGATCCACTGTTCAAATTCCTAAGTCAGGGCTGGAAATACTGGCTGCATGTGCACCTTAGTGCACCCAAAATTGGAGCTGTGCACCGAAGTAAAAATCTTTATTTTTCTTTGGGTGCACTGGTGCACCCAAATATTTTTGTAGGTATTTTTGTTCATATCAAATGTATAATAGTATACAGGATATGCTTGGCATGTAAATGTCAGAAAAATAATAAAATGTTTGTTGTAGTACTTGAATGTTTAAGATTTTGAAGTTAGCTCCCATTTCAGATTCAAGCTTAGAAGAGGAGCAGTAACATCTGCAATTTGGTTTTGTTTTATAAATACAATTCACCCAAAAAGTGCATTGTATGAAAAAATTTTTGTGCACCCAATTTTTTAGGTTAGATGCACCTGTGCACCTATTCCCAAAAAATGAATTTTGAGCCCTGTAAGTTAAACAATCCCCAAAACCTGAATCTTTTATTGATGGATGTTGTCAGTCCTTTGGAAATTTTTGAGCTCATGCTTTTGTACTGTTGAATACATAATAATGATGGATAAATGTAAGTGATTGGACACAAGGGACATACAGTAAATTTTCAAATTTTTGCAGTTTTCGCTGTGACCTCCGTGAACTCTTAACACTGCAAACATTATTAATAAATTATCATGTCTTTTTTCTGTGTTATGCTACAAATGTATCTTAAAGACATCACAAACTTTATATGCAAAAGTCCAGTGAATTTAACTGCATTTAGTACAGTGATATCTTTCAAAATATACCACACACCCTTACTATATATAACAGTCGTAGATTTTATACATATCAACTGGACTCAAAATAATTTCTTCTTCTAAAGTTCTAACTGTAACAATTTGAACCATGATTCAGCTATGCCATAATTAATAAACAACTTGTTTATAGTTTTTCTGCAATGTGAAAAATACAGGTTGAGGGTGAGATTTTAATTTGTGGATGTGATTTTTTTTTCTTTTTTGCACAAGGATTTTGCTTTAATTGCATTGAGCTACTTTCTTTTAATTAAGATACAGTCACACCCTGTGTTGCATGTACCTCAGAGAGGTATGTTTACAAACACTGGAATGCAATTTGTAAAAGATACCATACACTCAATGTACAAGCTATATGTTACGTAGAAGTACAACAATTATGCATAAGATTTGCCACTCACTATTCCGTACAAAACCTCAAAAATTTTGAAATATAACAAATTAGTCACCTTGCAGTATCAGAAAATCTGCCCCCCCCCCATATCAAGCTACCCCCTATCATACCCTCCAATCTTTGCTGTATCCAAGGGAGTTAAACCAGAAAAGTACACAAAAAGTCATCAATCCGACCTCCCCACACGTGCACACGTACGCACCAAACATACCTGCACACGCACAAAATGTACGGTAACTCACGCAAACTCACGTGCAGTCCCTCCGACCACAAACACGGTTGCCATGTCCCGCGACCGCCAGCGTACTTTCCCGTTGCGTGTCGTAAGGCGTTGTGTTACGGGCGGTAGAAGGCAGATATTGTGCGGGGTAAGCCAACCCACCCGCGTGGGACTCTGGGCGTATCGAATAACCTACACCTGATAAGATTCTGGGGTTAGCGTTTCTTTTAAAAGCTGTGCGTTGCTTAAACATTGTAATAATGGTCCACAGTCTTGCTGTATAGCAGCACAATGCAAGGTTTTGACCCCATATAAGTGACTTACTGTGACTACATGTATTATGCATAATTGAAAGATTATCTTATAAAACGACCTATTCATACTATAGATATGGCACTGAGAAGGACAGATACATTTTTTAAATTCTTGTTTGTTACATTTTGATAAGTAAAATTTGCTGTGTTTTTTTTTCTCAATGAAAAGAGTCTACTACATTGTATGTACATGTACAAATTAGGAAAAACCTGCATTTTATAATCAAGAAAAAACACCAACATTTCTCAGATGCCATGTATGATGCCTTGTTCTAAAAATCCCTGTTATTTTTATTTTAAACAACTATACATTATAATGTTTCAAATAAATATTATATAATATAGAAGTTATCATGATTATGATTCGATAATAACTACATAGTTGACACTCCAAAGTTCAATAGCAGGATTTGTAGCTGAGCTACAATGTAGGCCAATACAAAAATTTTAATACCTTAATGGATACCTAAACTGTCTTTAAAAAAATCAAGAGTCTAGTTAACAAAAGCAAAAAATTGATCTAATTATCAGATGCCAGAAATACATCAAAATATTACCTCCGACAGTTAGTACAATATTCCTCAATCAGTGACGTTTTTATAAACTAAGGTAAAAACATGACTTTGTAATTGTAAATGTACCTCCAATACTGTACTGTACTTTTTTTTTGCTTTACAAAAATGTAACTGATTGAGGAACATTCTACTAACCAAAATATTGCCTGCGTTTAGAGGTCAACAGACAGCAGAGGTCAAAGGAAATCCACACCTTTTGCAGGTTTTAGTGTTTATAGGTTGTGTTAGACAGGTAAGTCTGTGGGACTCCTTCCCAAGCCCTTTTGTTTACAGGTATTGTTGGGCAGGTAACTCACCCGGAACACCTTGATCCGATGATCACACCTGACCTGTGTAAACAAGACAGGCCTGGGCACCGACAACGCAACTGGTGGGTTCTCATCATCTCAAAAAATGTTGTGTTTCCAGTGTTTCGGTCTTTAAACATTAGGGTCGGTAGGTAGGGGTGATCTTTTTTTTTGCTAAGGCCACACCAATTTAATTTCTTGGTTAACGGATTCACCCGCTTCATTTTTTTCTGATTTGCAAAAAAAAAAAATTCAGAATCAACTACAAAATGCTCATATTTTGCCCTGAACAGTTGAAAACAGTCCTTTTCTTCCTAGTTGTTACAGTTATTCCATCTTTCAATGCAGTGGTATCATTAAAAGTTCAAAATTCATTGTTTAAATTTTGAACCAGCCTGCATGGTGTGTTGACTTCATGGCTCCTATAATTGTACCATTTTGGGCCATAATAGGATGCCTGGGCCTGTTTTTATTTATTTTTTTTTGCACGCCCGCTCCATTATTTTTCTAGAAAAATCTGTTAACCAAGAAATTAAATTGTTATGGCCTTAGACCTAGAAAAAAATGTTGTGTTTCCAGTGTTTCAGCCTTTAAAAAAATTAGGGTCAGTAGGTAGGGGTGATCTTTTTTTTTTTTGCTTTCTTTTTTTTTAGTCATCTCTAGTGACCATAGTAATAATTGCAATACAGTTTAACAAAGTAAAACTTGCATGAGGACATTTTCATATTTAATGTCAATGTTGGAAAACCGATTGTACAACGTTTCATCACTCAGGTGTCAGATCATGGAGCTAGAAAAGGTCGATAAGCTCAAAAAATTTATGTCCCTTGCTTGCAGGGGTCCACAGAAAAAATCCTAGGGCAATTTTTTTCTAGGGAAACACATACCCAGTGCATGGACCAGTGCAGGTTAGGTGCAGGTAGACATCAGAAATACCTGCACAGCTCTAGATCCAGTTTTACCTGCACTAACCTGCATATACCCAGTACATGGACCAGTGCAGGTTAGGTGCAGGTAGACATCAGAAATACCTGCACAGCTCCAATTTTACCTGCACTAACCTGCATATACCCATGGACCAGTGCAGGTTAGGTGCAGGTAGACATCAGAAATACCTGCACAGCTCCAATTTTACCTGTACTAACCTGCATATACCCTGTACATGGACCAGTGCAGGTTAGGTGCAGGTAGACATCAGAAATACCTGCACAGCTCCAATTTTACCTGCACTAACCTGCATATACCCAGTACATGGACCAGTGCAGGTTAGGTGCAGGTATGTAGACATCAGAAATACCTGCACAACTCCTAACCTGCATATGCAGGTGGTATTTCAAGGCCTTACTTCTAATGTTGTATTCTTTAGACTTCAAGGCAGTAATTGTCTACAAGTTTTGTGTGTGCAACAACCTCATGTTTGTTGCAAAACAAACTCCGTCCCCTATATACAAACAAATAATACAAAGACTGCCACAACATACACAAGTACAATGTATATCCCCTAAATAATTACAGATTAACATTAACCTATAGCATTTGCAAAAACTTTGAAACGAAAGTTAAGCTAGCAGAAAATTAATGTGAGATTCAGGCTATTTTACTTGAATAATGTGGCAAGAATGCTGTACAGAGTGAGATTACAAAGTCTAAATCCCAGCCTATTTGTACAGGAATTGTTGGAATTTAGTTCCCCACGGTTAGTGAATGACATAAGGCCACAGCAAGTGATTTTTATGGATGACATCAGCGCACGCATTAATTTTCGCCTGATTTTGGAAAAAAAAAATTTTGTTGCCTTCTGACATTGGACAACATGCCGAAAATGGGCAAAAATGTCTGTTGCCATGCCAGAAGGTGGATGGCAGATAACTGTGGAGAGAAGAGACAAGAAAAGGCTCTGATTTAATGTTTTGTTACTTCCTTTGATGCAGTGATATGTGATGTTGGCTTTGTATGTGTGATGTTCCTACTGAATAAAAACCATTTGTACATTATGAATGAGTCAAAATTTTTAAATATAGGAACCTTTTTTTTCGGTTCGCCATGTTTGTTTTTTCGCCCGCTCGCATTAGATTTGGAGTCTGTGGAGGATGTCATCCATAAAATTTACTTGCGGTGGCCTATTGTCCAGTCTGTGGGTTGTGAACTCTACTCCCTTGGCCAGCTATCTTCTCTCTGCACAGGGCTCGAACCACCTTATTCTGCATACCTGCACAGGTGCAGATAACCTTGGAAATTACCTGCACCAGACAAATTATAACTGCACAACTCAAAATTTGGATATACAGAAGTCTGATCATCATAACCGGTTCAGAAACCATTGCCATTATTTCTTTTATACTTCATATTAATTAGGTTAGTAACAGCCAATGCAGCAAATAAAAATCTACATACTATAGGTCCTACATCATGTGTATATAACGTTAAATTCAGTACATGGCCCAATGCAGGTCAGGCACAGGTAGACATCAGAGCTCCAATTTTTTCTGACCTGACGTGCAAATACAGAACTGGTATTTCATGTACTGCTCTGGCATATTATTTACAGTCTATTTGGCACCAATTGAAATATTTCTACTAATACTACCATGGGTAAAAGTAGCAACCTATTTTTGAACCTAGGTAGCCCAGTGTGCTACCTGAATTTTAAGAAGCCCCCCCCCCCCTCCAAAATCATGCCCACTTGGCTTGCACCACTGTATCCGGCAGATGCTTTTTACTTTTAGGTATTAATGGCTAATACGAGTATCAGTTAACTAAAGGCTGTTAGAAATATTGTCAAAGGCTTATGTATGTAACATTACTTAATTTGAGGAAAGTAGTAACTTATAGGTGGGGCAACCTAAAATTCTGATGGGCAACCTAATTTTTGCTGTAGGTTGGCCACTGGGCAACCTGGTTCAAAAAAGTATTTTGCACACTGCATCATGGAAACAGACATCCCATTCCCCCAAATTCACCCTTTTATACGATTAACAAAGACCTTAACAAACCTTAAGACCTACCTGTCTTCCCTCACCTGTGCACAGTGGCCAGCAGTCCGTGCAGGTGTGCTTTGTTAAGAGTACTGGGTTATTTTTAGTGCCGTACTGGACTACTATGTACCTGACAAACTAACAAACATTGGGGGAGGAAAGTCGGAGCGATTGTATCCACTCTTCTCAGAGCAGGAAAACCGAGCGCAAACAAAAAGAACGTGCTAAGTTACAGAAGAAGAGCACTTGTTAGGATGTAGAGGTCAGGGATTCAAATCCCAAAGCATGTCTGCTATCAACACAAGAAGAGTCTTATTTTGTTCTACTGTAGGACCTTACTTCAACAACGTTAACACACCAATCCATAGAAAGGATATTACTGCCACACGCACTGAATGGCCATGTTTAAAAGTCATAAATTTTCAAAATCGCTATGAAAGGGGTGTCAGAATGAGGGTAAGTCTGGATCTCAAGATGCCCTTTTGTAAATAGAGGTCGTTGTGACCTTCCTGACAGAAATGATGGATGTTGCAAATAAGAAGATAAATCATGTTCAAACTTTTCTTTTTCTGCTCAGTAATGTACATGTGGTTTCCTGGGAACGTACTAGGAACACGAGAGATGAACCATTTTCGAACTTGACCTTCGTTTTCACAACTGGCACTCACTTACTCAAAATTATGATCCATTTATAGTTTTTTGAGTTATGCCGTACACATACAAACAGCAAATGCATAATAAAACCTGCTGCAGTACCGTTGAAAAATACCAGGTGTAGCACTTTCAAACTTGACCTTCATTTTCACAACCACTACTCACCTACCAAATATCATCCACAGCTTCTACACATGGTTATATGCTGTTGACTTACATATAGACCCACACCACTGAGCCATGGCCAAACCAAAAACATACCCTTCTGGGGAAGGCGTGAAAATCTAGAAAGTGGTAAAAACTTAACTTTGAAGTGTTGACACAAAAATTATTTCAACAGCGTCAAAACACAAAAACATGATACCTGTGGACATCTCATTAAGCTTTAGCAATATTTGGACACCATGCGAGGTGTGAAGAGTTCAATACGACAGTGTTTGACTTAGTGACAAACACTGAGCCATGTGAGGTCTAGGAAATCCCTCTACAAATTTGTCAAACGCTCTGTCATTCGAGACAGCTAGAAAAAGGAACAAGTGTTTTCAACTACTATATTCTTTCTGGAAAACAAAAATAAGTGTGTTATTGAAAAACCTTTTAAGTCTTTCAACGACATCTTTGGACTGTCTCAAATTCTTTATATAAGGAGCAGCTGCTTTTGGTACCACTTGGTTGGGTTCTTAAGATTACAAAGAAGAAAAAAACATCTTTGCATAAGAACATATTGAGGGGCATTATTGATGAAGTCCTATATGTGGACAAAATTTCTCAAAATATCACCAAGTAATAAATATAATGATGGAGTAAACACAAAATATTATTAATATTGTGTGTACGGGTGAAAATAGCTTTGATGTGAATATTACCTAGACTTATTATACATGCATGAATATATTTATCCTACAAACAGAACGAACACTTGGTACACAAAGGAATAAACCATGAACAAATATGTGTATTCATTTTGCTTGCGAATCGTAACATGCAGCATAAATATCATATTCGATATACATGTACTACTATCTGTTGATATTTATCATTATTTGATTGTGTTTACGTTGTGTTCATCGATGTTATTAGCTGTGTATGAAATACTATGTGATTACGTTCATAAAGTGCCCACATTGTATTGTTTTGCTTTAATCTAAATAAAGTCAATGTTAAAAATCTTATGCTAGAAGTATATATTGCTTGTTTTATATATTCTTATACCTTCATTAACTGACTGAAAATCTTCAGAAAGCAATAAGCAACATGTAAAAATACAAATCTACAAGCAGATATGTTTTGGGTGAAAGAAAATGTACTCACCAGCACCACTATACATTTGTATGTATTTGGACTTCTGGGAAGAAATGAACACGGACAGAAACAATTTGGAACAAAGAAACTACAGAAAAAATCCTCATGAGTACAAAAACGTAAACTGGCGATGCAAAACCTTCCCCCACAATTGCCTCAAACACCCACTTACAACCGGGTTAAGAAAACGTGAAAACAAAATCAGCACAACCACCCCCATGCTGACATGGTACAGCCCAATCAGGCATGACAAATATATGGAAGACGGTTTCTACCACTTGCAAAATGGGGGGTGCTGGATGTTTGCCTGCCGACTTTGTTAGCGAGCGCACAAGGACTTACCCAATGAGGCGAACAAGTGTCAGGGAATAAAGGCGAGAGTAAACAACCCAGCTGGGAATGTTTACCGAGCGGACAATGTATCAAAGCGGGGTACACACTGCGTGTCTCAGGCACAACTTTGCACTATTAAGTGATCGTTTGTCAACTCACGATTGTTGTCAACATACCAACATGCAAAGTATTACTACGGTCAAACTTGTACAAGTGACCACCTCTGCATAAGGAGTACCTCTGGCCATTGTGGCCCTTAGAATGTTAGATTACTTTTTTAATATCTTTAAGGTGGACAGGTGGTCAACTACAACTCACGATTGCTGTCAACATACCAACATGCAAAGTATTACTACGGTCAAACTTGTACAAGTGATCACCTCTGCATAAGGACTACCTCTGGCCATTGTGGTAGAATGTTAGATTACTTTTCCAATATCTTAAAGTGGACAGGTGGTCACTAAAGACAGGATTCTTAATGCTTGAGTCAATGGGAAAATCATCTTAACTCTAAGGGACCACCAAAAAGTGGTCACATTGGCCAGGTGATCCTTATGCAGAGGTGGTCACTTGACTACAGTTGTACAGAACTGTACATGTACATGTAGACCTGTCTCTTGCTAACCAATTGCTAATTTGAAACTTTCAAGTAGTTACATGCATATGTAACATCACATGTACCTGCAACGGAACCTACAAAATATAGAATTCATTGTTATAATTTGCTACCTGAAAAGTTGTACAGAGACCACAAAAAAAAACTGGATGTGAGTAAACAAATGCCACAGTACACACAACATGTAACTGTGTAATGTGCATGATACTTTTCCTGATTGCTTATCAGTATGTTTCATTGACCCGGCTGGTTTATGGTATATTTTATGACAGCTGTGCCTGTGAAGTTAATTCTAAGTGGTTACAGAATATCTGTTTATGGGCGTATAAAATTGTGTCAATGCCGCACTTGCCTTGTTTATTGTTATAATAAAGCATTTATAGTTGCTATAAATCATGTTTCAAACAATTGTATGAATTCTTTTTAAGATCCTTAACTTTGTAGCTAAACTTCCTTGTATTCTGGAAAAGAATAACAGTTTTTTATCAAGTACTGGAGACTAGATATGAAAATATAACGTTAAAGAGAGAAACAAAACAATACTATAAGAAAAGTAACATTTGCACAAAAAAAAATGCATTATGTTTATTGTCTAGCCTATAGTACCAGTTACCATGGTAACAGCCATGTGGTCCAGGTCAGTGACCTTATACCTTTGGAGATGAAGAAGAAACTGACTGAGCAAAAACAACATGCTTCAATAATGATGATAATTACAAGGGTGAAACTAAGGTCACTGAGCCCTTACAGCCCTCACAAGTAGACCCAAGAGACCTATCTGTATTATAATGTACTATCTTCCAATGAATCCATTCTACTAATTTTATCTGTTAATTAGAAAATCCTTCAAGCAATCGATATGGTGTATCTCTTCTTTTATCTGAACAATAAAATGAATAAGGGCAAAAATGTATGTACAATGTGAGATTAGAACAAGAAGTCAATCACTCAGATGGCAGACTTCACCACCTCAACAACACTGCTAAAAAGCAACTCTTCCAGTCCCACAGTCAAAAATACCATCTAGGATGTACTTAGTAGATGGTAATACTATACTACATGTACTTGATTTTGCATATTTAGTACTAATAGTGTATATAGCACTTAATCATTGTCAAGAGGAGGCAAATCATGTAAAAAGAGCTGCATACTCAAAATATGTATGATGTGTTATAAAACTGATCCTTGCATCTACTTGGAGATTATGAGTACATGTTGGTGTATTAAACTAAGGTAACATTAATTAACAAAGGTCAACAAGCACAGCAAACACACATACTTGTGTTGACAGTTTACATGTTAGACTTTACACTACCGGTGCTGTTTGTTAACAAAGACCAACTTTGTAATCAGATGTTACTTCTAAATTTGCTGAAACCGGAATGTTTGATAAAGAAAATTGTCTATATAAAGTTATTTGAACACAAATTTGAAGGAAGATTTCTCGACTAAGTCTAGTTGTAGTAATATTGGCAATTGAAGAATTTGACAAAAATGCCGTTTCGACATGAGTCATATACATTTGAGTGATAGAGTCGTCAGGGCTACGAAGTACGATATGCCTTGCTGTATTTTAATACGCCGTAGCTATATACACTCCCGGTGTGTATATAAAAGACAAATAGATTTTATATACACTCCGAAATACTAGCCTACTTGGTAGGCCCAAAACTTGGGTTTTTGTGAGTGTTTGAGGATTCAGGGGCACCAAGTTTAAACCTCGGTCTTCAAGTTTATCTTATTGGATGATGAAAATCAGAAAACAACACGGAAATCTCCACCGAAGTTCGGTCGAGCGGACCGCCCCGCCCCGCTTGCGCGGGGCCCGGGACCCTCCGCTCCCGGCGGCGGCGGCGAGACCGGTCGCGCGCCCCTGGCGTCCTCGCTACCTGGTTGATCCTGCCAGTAGTCATAGGCTTGTCTCAAAGTTTAAGCCATGCACGTGCAAGTTTAAACTGTCTCAGTGAAACTGCGAATGGCTCATTAAATCAGTTATGGTTCCTTTGATCGTCACATCCTACATGGATAACTGTGGTAATTCTAGAGCTAATACATGCGGAAGAAGCGCCGACCTCACGGTCTGGCGTGCATTTATCAGACCAAGACCAACCCGGGGTTCGCCCCGGTCCCTTTGGTGACTCCGGATAACACAGCCGATCGCGCGGTCTTCGCACCGGCGACAGATCATTCGAATGCCCTATCAACTTTCCGGGAGTGTATATAAAAGACAAATAGATCTTATATACACACCGGGAGTGTATATAAAAGACAAATAGATTTTATATACACTCCCGGAGTGTATATAAAAGACAAATAGATTTTATATACACTCCGGGAGTGTATATAAAAGACAAATAGATTTTATATACACTCCGGGAGTGTATATAGCCACGTTCATTTTAATATGTTATTGTAACTTACACAATATGGGGCACATGTGCTCTTTTCGATCTATTCATCAAAAAGTTGGTAGCTTTAGAATCGGTTCCCTACAACCAGCACAATGCACACAAAGCACAGTTTAACCATAAATTTAGTCCCTTGTGCAGTTGGCGCAGACAAATTTATGACTTTGTCATCGACATCTCTTTTCACTCCATTTCATAATCAAGTTAGATCAGCTGTGGTCATACAAAAAGCAGCGTCGTCTGCTTTTGTTGACGAGAAATTCTATCCTCTCCTACCATGTGAACTACTTCTGAGGCTCACCTGATGTGAAATAAGAGCTAAGACGTTCGCAGATCGCCCCAGAATGTCAAGAAAGGTGAAGGTTACCTGAGAAGGCGTCAAGTTGTCTTCCAAAAATGCCACCAACTTCTTCTGGCGTCTTCCGCGCGCCTAGGGAACTGCCCCGTTGCATCACGGGAAAATAAGTAGTAGCTATAGACGCTTGACTATCGTATTTATCAGGCTGAAATTAATTTTGAGTCTGGGCAAGGGCATTTATATAGGGCAACAAGTGAAGAAATCGTCCCTCTGTACTTTGATAACTCTAATTTGGATTTCTTAACAGAATAATCTACATATTTATGAAACTAAAACCAAAGTGTGACCAATTAATACAAAAGTTACAGGTTATGGTCGCCACCTAGCGTTGCTTACTAGCATTACAATGGGGAAAAGAGCAACACTATGACTTTTCCTGTATCAAATCGACACGCCTTTCTTTATAGTAGTTCTTTACATAAGTGTCAGTCTATTTCTATGATAGCAAGGCTGTTACTCCTTGCCTTGGTGAATGCTACTTTTGGCCCAGCCATACTCTTGTTGACAGGGCTGTGTCCCGCGGTGAGCTGTCCTGATGGTATGTTGACAGGACTGTTGTTATGTCCTGCGGTGAGCTGTCCTGCTGATATGTTGACAGGACTGTTGCTATGTCCTGCGGTGAGCTGTCCTGCAGATGTGTTGACAGGACTGTTGCTGTTTCCCGTGGTGAGCTGTTCTGCTGCTATGTTGACAGGACTGTTGCTGTGCCCTGCAGTGTGCTGTCCTGCTGATATGTTGACGGGACTGTTGCTGTGTCCTGCGGTGTGCTGTCCTGCTGGTATGTTGACAGGACTGTTGCTGTGTCCTGCGGTGTGCTGTCCTGCTGGTATGTTGACGTGAGGACTGTTGCTGTGTCCTGCGGTGTGCTGTCCTGCTGGTATGTTGACAGGACTGTTGCTGTGCCCTGCGGTGAGCTGTCCTGCTGTCTTGACAGGACTGTTGCTGTGCCCTGCGGTGTGCTGTCCTGCTGGTGTGTTCGGTCCGGTGTTCCCTGTGATTCCTCCTCGCAGAATTGACACTGGCTGTTGGACTTGCGGATTCGCAGGGTTTCTCCGTATTCTGCTGACAAGTACCCGGCGGATGTCCATCACAGTTTGCCAGATCCCCCTCCGTAAGTCCGGTGTGCGGACGATGCTTGCGACCGGGTTGATTGCTGAGTTGAAAGTCAGCATCACGGCTCTTTCGTGGGGACCAGCTATGAGTGGGCACTCCCTCTGACATATCGGGAGCAGCACAACAGGTAAGAGCCAGAAGATGAAGGCAACCACCACGTAAATCAGGACCGTTCTCGCCTTCTGCACACTTTTCTTGAATTTTCTTTCTGCCTCATTTTGTGCGATATTGTGAGACTGATGTTGCCCTGTCCCGTTTTGTCCAAGATTATTACGTGGCTGCTGCCCAAACCTTCTCTTTTGTCGCTGTTTCACCGCTACAAATGTGCTGATGTTTGTAAACAACATGGTACCGGCCAATACGATGGCTAGAGTGGCTACAAGACCAACGAAGACCGTGTGGTAAAAGAGTAGACAGTTTGGTGTGTTTATATCTAAACAGTTCCACCCCACGCTGGGTAAGAAAAAATACAAGGACAGAACAAGCCAGGAGGAGGCAATAGCTATGCCTGCATCACGCTTGGCAGTGGCGGCATGGTTGTGGAAGAATACAGGGTGTCTTACTGCTACGTAAGAGTTAACAGATAGCAGCGATAGAGCAGAAGCAGACATCATTTGACTATACATCAGAAAAGTTAAAACATTCATCAACGTGTGCAGTCTCAAGAATTCTACTTGGTCTGCAGTTCGATACAGGAGTCCAACGCCTCCGACCAAGTCGGAAACGGCGAGGTTTGCCATGTAGATGTACAGCGGCTTGTGGAGTTGTGTCGTTTTGACGATTCCCAAGATCACGACGGCATTGCCGGTGACGATGAGAAGCCCCAAGAACCAAGAGATGACGGCGGTCGCTGTTCCCAACTCCTCGGTGTTGTCGTAGATGGAGCAGGCTTGTTGGGCTTCTGTGTAGCCCTGGAACACCGTCTTGTTCTGTAGGTGCCACATGAGGCAAGAAGTTTGTCCATCGAATTTCTCAAACGGTGACGAGTTTCCAGAAGCGAACGGAGAGACAGAACTGTTGTTCCACACTGAGGTGGTCCTGATTCTGTTCTGCTGCGGCGCCAGTGATGACTCTTCTCCCGCCATTTTGGACAATTTTGCCCCGCAATATCTCACGCCACGCCGCGGTGGTCCACTATGCTTCCCGGTCCCTGTGTCTAAAGACAAACCGTTTCAAAGGGTTTCGAAGGGTTTTGGAGTGGTATACCGTTTCTAGTCTAAAGTGGGCCTTGTACTGACAGTGTACGTCTGCACGTCTGCGGTGTTTCAGATGAGGAGGCAAGAAGCAGAATGACTGTACACAGCGTATTATTGTATGGCACTGATGTTAATCCATAAGGCCATAGCAAGTAAATTTTACGGATGACATCCTCCGCAGACTACAAATCTAATGCGATAGGGCGAAAAGGCCTCCCTTGCGCAGTTATATCATGTTTATATCTATGTGTGAATAAGATAAAACAAGATAAGATAAAGTAAAATAAAGTAAAATAAAAAGAATAAAATATGGTACATGTTATTGTTTTTTTATTATTACTCGCCTTTATCTAGCATCTATTGCCCTTGACAAGGCAGGCATTACACCGGACGCACCTGGCAGAATTTCCTGGACTCTGGCTTAATTCGGGTAAATCTCGCTTTTGTTCGAGCAGTAACACCGGTGTCTGTAAATCGAAGTGGGATTTACCAAAAGATAGAATTTGACTATACTGTCGCCACGTAAAGCAACCATTACCAAATCCACCTGCCATATATCGTCATTGGTAACCCCACTACGGGGCAAAGGCCACCAAATGGCGCATGCCCAGAGGGCCCAGTCTGAGACCCCTTTGAGTGAGTGCAGCCAAACCAACTGAAAAAGCCTTTTTCTTGGTATGTGTGGATAAATGCTGGCATTTTCCAGCTGGAGAGTTATTTCTATTTCTATTAACTTGAAAAAACTGGCTGTTAGGGTTGTTTTGGCTGCTTGGTAGGTTCTAAAACTAATCCCATCTTCTTGTCTTTTGGTGGTCTTCAAGGGGGTCAGAGGTCATGCTGCCAGTGTTTGCATTTGCCGTGCCAAGTATCGCTGGTCAAAAAGTGAAATTTTTGGACTAAATGGACAATTTGGAAGTTGGACTACCCTGTCAATGTGTGTTTGCAATAGTTGAACACTCAAGTAGGTGATTGTTGACAGCTCAGTTCTTAGATGTTTTCCATATATTCCAATAGGGGCTGGAATTAGTGGGCTGTGCCCTACGCACGCTACGTTCAAATGATGCAAGACACAAGAGGAGCGAAACGTATATTCTCGAATGGTATTAAAACATCTAATAAAGAATTAGGAGATCTCATACCTCCGTGAGATATTAAGAGCTTTTAGAAGTATTTATGTTTACCGAAGGAATTCGAAAAGATTGTTTATGCTACATTTCCTCTTATTCTGCTTCTTCTTCTTCCGTTTCTTCCATGGCACCTCTGACCTGGCCAATTACCTGATTTGTTGACGCCTGTCACCATGGTAACTGGTGTCGGATTACATGATGTTGCAATTTTATCGGTAGGATGGATTTATACTCCTGTCTGACTATATATATATATATGAATGTATTTGAGTAAGAATTAACCGAGCAGACCATACGCGAAGGTAGAAATTATGCGTTTGCTGTGCAAGTGTCACTGACCTCCCTGATGGAGTGATGAATAAATACTAGTACTCTCCAAGCAGAGGTTTGGGTTTTGGGGGTATTTTTAGCGTGTTTTTAGGCTTTTTTATCGGGATTTCTCTTTTGCACTGAGGTGGGAAAAAAATTCAGTGCAAAAGAGAAACCCCGATAAAAAAGCCTAAAAACACGCTAAAATAACCCCAAACCCAAACCTCTGCTTGGGGAGGTAATGAATAAATAGATAAAACGATCATTGACAAATGTAAGACAACATGTACAGAATCTCCTCCTGAATGACTTCATCCGCAGGATGGGTTGTGTCCTTCGGAAACTGGCAATCTGTCATTTCCCAGGTGTCCACAAAAACAACCGGCAGCCCTGAGAACATCTCTTTTATGATGAGGTACATCTGGAAGGAATACCAGTCGTCGACGTTCAGAATGGTGGTGTCAGCTGTGTTGGTAGGTTTGATGACCAGGGTGGTGTTCTGTTGTCTGCGGAGAAGTCGCAAGAGGGCGCTCCGAACGGTTCGAACGCGCGTGACGTAATCAACCAGCGGTTGGCTGTTGAAATGGAAGCCTACAGTAACGACTACGATGTGATTTGGTTCGTCGATTTCATCAATAATACGGACCAAGTTGCTCAGTATGCTAGCGTTGACCCAAGCAACTGTATTTATCGGCGGGCCATGGGACTGATATCGT